CACACACACACACACACACACACACACACACACACACACACACATATTATGTTTGTGCTGATAAATAAAGTCTTGTGACCAGCCGAAGGACAGAGAATGGAAGTAGTGACCTTCCTCCCATATTTGGGCATACCAGGGGTTGTGACTTTAAATATATATGTATGTATGTATGTGTGTTGAATTTGTGCTGATAAATAAAGGGAGATTATATATATATATATAATATCCATATTTCTTTCTATATATCTCTACTTATCTATATACCTAATCATCTATTATCTATCTATCCATCCATCCATCTATCATCTACCTATCCATCCATTATCTATATTATCTATCTATATCTACCCATCCATCCATCATCTATCTATCCATCCATCCATCTTATATCTATTTCCCACACATACATACACCTAGTAGTCCTTGGCTTATGACCCCAATGGAGCTCAAAATTTGTAAGTGAGGCATTTGTTAAACAAATTTTGTCCTGTTTTATCCCCTTTCTTGCCTTAGTTGTTAAATGAATCACTGCAGTTGATAACCAGTAAGGCAGTTGTTAAAAGTGAATCGGGCTTCCCCCGTTGACTTTGCTTGTCAGAAGGTGGCAAAAGGGAATCACGTGACTTTGGGACACAGCAACAGTCATAGGATAGGAGCCAAGCATCTGAATTTTAATCACATGACCATGGGGATGCTGGAAAGGTCATAACTGGGAAAGTCGTCACTTTTTTTCAGTGCCGCTTTAACAGTCACTAAATGAAGTGTTGCAAGTCAAAGACAACCTAGATATGCAAATATAAATAAGCCGAGTATGCTTTGAACTTCTCTATAACTGAGTGTGCAGGATCGACTGACGGGATCAACCGGATAACTCACTTATCCCGCTGCAATGATTCACTTAACCACTGTGGCAAGAAAGGTCATAAAATGGGCCAAAGCTCACTTAACCACTGAGCAACATAAATTTCGGGCTGAGTTATGGTCATAAGTCGAGGGCTACCTGTATTGCACGCAATCCCTAGATCCCGTCAATCCCACAGCACAAATGCATATTTAAGATACCCTAACAGCCAAGAAATTAAAAGACGCTTGCTCTTGGGGACAAAAGCCATGGCAAATCTAGACAGCACACTAACAAGCAGAGACATCACCCTGCCAGCAAAAGGGCGTATAGTCAAGGCTATGGTTTTCCCAGTTGCAACGGATGGCTTTGAAAGTTGGACCATAAGAAAGGCTGAGCGCCAAATGGAGGCCTTTGAACTCTGGTGCTGGAGAAAACTCCTACAAGTCCCTTGGACTGCAAGGCAATCCAACCGGTCAGTCCTAGAGGGAATCAACCCCGACTGCTCTTTAGAAGGCCAGAGCCTGAAGATGAAACTCAAAATACGTTGGCCACCTAATGAGAAGGAAGGACTCACTGGAGAAGAGCCTCATGCTGGGAAAGATGGAGGGCAAAAGAAGAAGGGGANTGACCTGACGGATAACCATATCATGTTCACACTGAACGGGGAGATGCTGATCAGTGACTCGGGGTCAGAGCTGGCCTTCAAAGAAATAGAGACCGAAAATGGTAAGCAACAACGTTCCCGAATCTCAGGCCCTTGTTCCTTCAGAGGCCGAACAACCTTTATTGTCATTTTCCCCTCTATACAATGGCACACATTAGCAATAGCAATAGCCCTTAGACTTATATACCGCTTCACAGTGCTTTCCAGCCCTCTCTAAGCGGTTTACAGAGTCAGCCTCTTGCCCCCAACAAATCTGAGTCCTCATTTGACCCACCTCGGAAGGACGGAAGGCTGAGTCAATCTTGAGCCGGTTAGGATTGAACTCATGGCAGTGGGCAAAGTTAGCCTGCAATACCATTCTAACCACTGTGCCATCAGGGCTCCTATTGCAACATCCAATCAATTACAGCAATAGCACTTAGACTTATATACCACTTTACAGTGCGTTAACAGCCCTCTCTAAGCGGTTTACAGAGTCGGCCTCTTGCCCCCAACAATCCGGGTCCTCATTTAACCCACCTCGGAAGGGCGGAAGGCTGAGTCAACCTTGAGCCTGGTGAGATTCGAACTGGCAGTCAGCAGAAGTAGCCTGCAGTACTGCACTCTAACCACTGTGGCACCGTTAAAATAAAATGCCAACGTACCACCCTCAAAATAACAATAGCAATACAGTAAGAGCAGAGCCATCCTCCAAAAACCATCCAAATTATACAAAAATGACACCAAAGTTTACATCCACACCTACATGCATGTTCATCGCAATCCATCTCGAATGCATGGCAGAAAAAAAGAGTCTGGAGGGTTAACAAGGTGGGTACCATATGGCAGGGGTGTCAAACTCAATTTCGTTGAGGGCCACATCAGGATTGTGTTTGACTTCGGTGGGGGCCCAAGCTCTCTGCGGGCTCAAGAGCTCCGTTTTCAGTTGCAACAGCTTCCCGCAACCGTCTGCCAGCAAAAACAGAGCTCAGTAGGATGGTAGGCCAGTCGTTTGCCATTTCCAGGTTGCCCCTGTGGGGCAGATCTAAACATCTTGTGGGCCCACAGACCTTGCGTTTGACACCCCTGGTGTATGGTATAAAGCTATTAGAGAACTTAGTTGTTCTGCTTCAGACGTCCAATCATCCTTTCCACTGTCCTCACCACTCTGCACAGCCTTCCTGTCCGACACTGGTGGAGGCTGAATGTTTGTTTATTCATTGTCGGGAACCCAAGTTCATCGTTTTCCTCCCCATCTTTTACAGGCTTCATCCCAGTGTGCAGCTTGGGCCTGTCCCAGGTGGGAAGACTCAACTTGGGTCAAGATGTCAGCAGCCTTCGCTATTTCACCATCTGCGGTCTTCAAGAAGGTTACGAACCCTTTGCAATCAACACAAAGCGGGAAGTCACCATGTGGTTCAGCAAAAGCTTGCCTCAGTTTTCCCCCGTGCCCGATGAGCACCCTCACTACGAGGTGAGTCGAAGGGGCGGAGCCTTGGAGCGTGACCCCTGCAGAAGGTGTGTGCTTTGGGACTCAAATGTTGACAAGAAGAGCTCCATATTTGAGAGGCAACCATGGCAGCAAGAGGACATTCTGTAGTGGGAGGGATTTACGAACAAGATACATTTGGGTTGGCTTGGTGAGGAGAAAGGGGCCGCCATTTTGAACGACTGGGCACTAGAAGGGGTTTTCGAAGCTTGGTAGGTGCCACCTGAGGGAGCTTCATGAGCCAGACAGTGGCCTGGCACGAAGAAAATGTGGCCATAAAAACGATCACGTAATTACAGAACAGGTCAGACAAAGGTACTAATGGTAGCATCTATGAGGATTGGTTTGTTGTAGGGCAAGATTGTGGTTGAACTCACGACTGAAGTGAGGTGAGAGACTTTGCATGGCTGAGAGGAAGTGTAGCCATTGGGATATTGGTTTGGAAGCACGTGTCTCCTACAAATGTTCCTCTGATGCCACCTCCATGTCTATCAGTGGTGGGTTTCAAAAAAATTTCGAACCTACTCTGTGGGTGTGGCCTCTTTTGTGGGAGTGGCTTGCCGGCAATGTGACCTGGTGGGAGTGGCTTGCCGGCCATGTGTTTGTTTTCTTTCTTTCTTTCTTTCTTTCTTTCTTTCTTTCTTTCTTTCTTTCTTTCTTTCTTTCTTTCTTTCT